CAGAGTTAGCAAGTTCTATGGTGGCTCAGAAGTGGGCAAGATAATCCACAAATGCGGTACAGTGAGTTCTCAAGGGAATCTCCCTCCCTCATTAACAGTTTTCTCAAAAATAGAAAATCTTTGTGGCAAACATGCCCCAGAAATCCTCATGAGAAAAAAGCTATTAAAAGTAACGTGCAAAACAAAACAGTGTTAATAGGAAACATATTATGGACAAGCAAAGGCAAACACATCATAAGATGAAATGGAACACTATTAAGAACAGCTTAATGCAAAAAATAAATAAATAAAAAACGGCTTAAAGCAAGAACAAGATGCAATGGAAAGAGCACTCAACATAAAATCATAGGACTTGAGTTCAAATTCCAACTCTGCTGCTCTCTAATCTTGCGCCAGTCACTTAACTACACTCAATAACCACTAAGGTTCCCTTAAGAGTAGCTCTATAATCAACAGTCCACTTTAGAGATCTCAAAAGGCAATAATGATTAACTGTAACCTGAATGGGGATAATAGTAAAAGCTATGGTTTGAAGGTGGACAAGATCACTGTGGGTAGGAGTGCTTAGGGACAGCTTCATGGAAAGTCAAGACAAGTCAGCTTTGTAAAAGTAGTAGACGTGACTGCTCTTCTGGACCCGATTCTGACTAGCAAAGAACTGACTGCTTCAGTAAACAAGAACCTGGGAGAAGACTACATATCCTTAGACTCTGTGCTATACAACAAGAAAACTGGGCTTAATCTGACATTCATTCTTTTTTTTTCCAGAGACCATTCTTTAAGTTTGAGAAAAGGAATTGATGGGAGTCTAAGGTCTAACATTCTACAAGTGCCTAAGAGAGATGCAAAGCTATCAAGAACTAAATTCTGAAGACTCAAGCAAAAAGAAATCTGTTTCATCAATCAACAGTTTTTAAAGGCACATCCAGAAGACTGAAGCAAGGGCAGGTAATGGAGAATATAAGAGGGTGTGCCTATAAAATTATACAGGAGTGCAAAAGTCCAGAATGACCTGAGATTATGAACGCTAATAACAAAAAAGGGTTTATGTAAGAAGCTGCTTGGGGTAGATGGGATTTTAATAGTTAATAGAAAAAAAGGTATAATTATCCAACTCTTTGCTTCTGTTTTCTCCACTAAAGAGAATGACCTTCAGACTAGGAATAAAAATCCTTTCAGGAGTTTCACTTAAACTGAGACTCATTTTCCTCATCTGCAAAATAAGGGAATTAGACTAGACAACCTCTAAATTCCTTTCCACAGCTCCAAAACCCGTTTCTAGGTACTGCTACACTAAATTCTTTTCTCTTTGTGTTAAAATTCCTAGACACTTAATAGACAAAGTAGATAAAACACATAGCAAAGCATCTACCAATCTCATGCTGTCCTCAACATGGGCCAGACAGTAGTCAGCTAAGTTCAAAACTGACTGGATAACCAGCCCCAAATAGTAATCATAAATAGGCTCTTAACATTTTAAGACACTGAAGTCTTTCTCACACTTGGATTTGGAAACCAACTCACAAGTACAAGATTGGAGATGTGTGATAGTGAACTGCAAACTTCAATGTCAATAGTGTGTGGTATGGCAGAAGTGTGTGTGATCTCAGGTTCTACTGAGAGGCTAGTATGCAGAAAAAAGAAACCAATAATCCCATCATTTTCTGCTTTGGTCACCCTACAACCAGAGCATTCTGTTCAATTCTGGGGACTGTATTTCAGGAAGGGCATTAATAAGCCATAGTGTCCCTAGAGGACAAACAGCTGCACGGTTGACTTTTCAGCATCCACTGCCAAGTACCTTCATCAAAGAATAGGATAGAAGCACCACCATACTTCCCTATTTCCTAGGGAAGGAAAGGGAATAAACATTTATATAGTACCTACTACGTGCCAGGCCCTGTGCTAAGTGCTTTACAAATATCTTATTTGATCCTCACAACCCTGAAAGGTAGGTGCTATTATTATTCACATTTTGCAGTTGATTTGCCCAGGGTCACACCGCTAATAAACCATCTGATGCTGGATTTGAACTCTGGGCTTCCAGACTCCAGGACCAATGCTCTACCCACTGTTCCACCTCTTATTTCCTGGGCATACAATGATCTTGCCCCACTCTGAATTCTTCTAACAGTATCATATACTGGAAGAGTCTGACATCAAACCACATATATTTAAGGCTGGGATGGACTGATAGGTATCATCTAATCTATGCTTTCCTTTTACAGAGAAGAAAACTGAATTGCAGACAGGATGACACGCTCAAGGACACATAATACTCAAACAAGGTACAAACTTATGCCTTTCTACTGTACCACTGTCCTTGATCTAGAATGGAAGAACTAGGCCTAATTTTCTGTTCCATCACTTACAAGGTCACATCACCTTGAGCAAACTGTTTCATTTCTCTAAATCTCACTTTTCTCATCTGTGAAACAGGACTAATAATGTAGATGTTGTAAGAAAAGGACTTGGTAAATGGTAAAAGGAAGCTGTAACAGCATATCTATCTTGTGGAATTACATTCCATTTTGCATAGATTGTAAATGGTAAAAAGTTATAACATCATATCTAACTTATCTAACTTGTGAAATTACATTCCATTTTGCATAGATATTTGTGTGTGCTTCTAAGAGAAGGTAAACTGACTGAGGGAAGAGACTGTACCTGACAATTCCACATACACTCCTCCTACGACTGGGAACACAGTAGATCTTTGATGTTTGTTGATACCAAGTAAGGAGGCAAATTACTTAATTTTGTAAAATGAAGCATTTTCACTGAAGTTCAACTTATTGTGGCATGGAGATGACTTGGTTCTTAAAAGGCTCTGACAGTATAGCACAAAGTCTAGAAGGCTCCACTAAGCTAAAAAGGATTTGATGGAAAGCAAATGAGGGGAGCAACCTACTAAGACCTTGAAATGACCACAATTTTGCCTATTATAACTCAAAGCATGAAGGGATAGTGATCTGTACATCACACATACATGACAGCACCCATCTCCTGTGTGACTCCTAACACTCCATCCTCACGTCTACTTTTCAGTTTTCTTCCAAGTCCAACTTCCATGAGGTCTTTCTTGATCTCCACCTTTTATTATATTCATTTCACAAGTATTTGTTGCACATGGTAGTAAGCTCCTTGAAGACAGGGCCTGCAACATTTTTCTTACTGCCTAGCATACAGTTGGCATTTAATGGAGCAAGTATTCTGTGCCTATTTCCCTAGCTCCAGTGAGATAAGAGATACTAACAAATGGAACTAACTTTATACAAACTTCCTTCACAACCACTCCTTACCTAAGGAAGTTAACAAAAGGCTCACAAAGGTTCCACACTCCAGGGATGAGGCTATTCGCCTGAAGTATGCCTAAGTGAGATTCTCTGCCCTTCCCCTTCTCACCTTTTTGGAATCCTTGGTTTAGTCTTTAAGCCTCAGCTCAAGTGCCAACCTTTGCATGGTTTGCCTACTGTGAGTGCCCTTCTACCTGTCCCCATGAAGACCTTGTATCTGTTTATATTCACACACCTGCAAACTGCTTTCTCCATGAGAACACAAAGTTCCTGAGGGAAAGGACTACTCATTTTGTCTTTGTATTTTGTCACTACCTAGCACAGTATTAGTCCTTAGGGAATGCCCAAGGATTTGTTCTGCTTTGACATTTCCCATTTAATTCCCCGACAAAAGAATGGGCATAGTTCCAAGAAGAGGGGACCACCTATAGTCTGCTCAGCCAGAATCTCTTCATATCCAAATGGATCATCATGGGATAAGCAAAACCTTTCCCTGAGTGCACAGGTCCCAGGATCCATATTGAAGGCTGCTTCTAAAGATATGGCTCAAAACTTGACAGGGCACATAGGGTCTTGGCACATATTTTACAGAAGCTTTGGGATATACATCCAAAACCTCGTTAAATTCTTCTAGATCATTCTAGACCCAGCTAACATTTAAGTTTCTCTTAAACAAAAAGTTTTCTCTACCCAACATTCTTTTAGAGCCAAGAAATCTTTTTTCCCCCTCTGTTTCAACAGAATCTAACTTTAATCTGTCCTAACAAAGATTTCTGTAATTAAATTACTTTTTATTATTCTTAACCAGGGGTAGGGAACCTAAAGCCTCAAGGCCACATGTGGCCCTCTAGGTCCTCAAGTGCAGCTCTTTGACTGAATCCAAACTTCAAAGAACAAATCCCTTCAATAAAAGGATTTGTTCTGTAAACCTTGGGACTCAGTCAAAAGGCTGCACCTTCTAGGAGGACCTTCTAGACCACATGTGGTCTTGAGGCCGCAGGTTCCCCGACTCTGCTCTAAACAATTCGACTCTTAAATACCATTCTTGAAAAATGGGCAAAAAAAAAAATGTGACATACAAGAAAGCGTACTACATTTAAAATCAGAATATCTGAATTAAAAATTCTAGCTCTGCTTACTGTGTGACCTTGGACAAGTAACATTCCTTCTCTGGATATTATTGTTTCATCTCTAAAATGAAGGTCTTGGAATTTAAAGATCTCTCGGGTCCCCTTCCTGGTTAAAATCTTTTGATATTTAGGGTAGAAAAGTAAAAAGAGCTCTGGGCTTGGACTCCTAGCTTTTAATATCCATATGTTTTTTGAGACTTTTGAGGAACTAATCCTGTGAAGAATGAGTAGGCTCACTATTCGAAAAATGTGGAAAAGTCAGGGGCCAAGTATTCTTAGAAACATTAAATACAACAAATGGGGATTTAACAGAAGGCTACTTCCATGTTTTACTACTGTAACTTCCTAAACCATCTAATTCCCCATGGAATCACTGAGCATTGGGACAGGACCTAAAGAAAGTAATCTTAATGGCAATTGAAAAGTTTGCTTTTCCGAGCATGTAGTGAAATGTCCCCTAAATTACAGTTCCCTTGGAATAATAAGACTTACCAAATTCAATTACACATTTGCAGAAATAAAAGCAAAGCATATCTCTTGCTGAAATAAAAATCTAAACAAGAAATTACCCAAGTTCTACTCCAAGCGACATAAACATAAATCTTTAATGTGAGTTAGACTGGCAAGAGAACAGCGGATTTTACTTACATTTGTATACTTAGACCAAAACTCCTCATAAGCAAAGGTGCCACAAAAGAAACAACTCCCAGTTGTCATGAGATTTGCAAAATGTTGCATAGACAACAAATCGATGTAATGTGGGTTCCATTCTACCACTGCCTTTTTAATGTGGAATCCATTATCAGAAGCTTTGGGACAGTAGGTCCATTTTGTTCAAGAAAGAGAAACACACCAAGGCCATAGGCCTGTCCTCTCCTTGGGGGTTGGGAGCAGGAGGGAAGGGCCATGGGGGACAAGGAGTACATGGAAAAGGAGAACCCTGAACATAGTAGAGACTACAAATAACCCATAATTAAAATGTAATAGTTGTTGGAAAAAACAGAACTAGATTCCTGTAATAGCTAAACATGCATCAATAAGACCAAACAGACCAAGAACAGCTCCTGTATATCCAACGAAACTTAAGATGGGAGGGTCTATGTTAAAAAGAAAAAAAAGTTTATTAGAAGCTCAGCTCCTCAAAATTCTCCTCCCCACTTAAAACTAAAAAAATGGAAATTTCTGCAGTATCTACAAATAACATGTTCACCAAATCTGAAAATATTCATTTGGTATCAATGTAAAACAATTGCTTTACGGAATTAAAACAAATTAGCCCGTGGGATAAAGTTTAAGAGACTGCAGTCAAAGCTACTTGGCTGCATCAAGAAACAGAAGAAATCAATTCAGATGAAGAGATTAGTTATGTAATCACATAGTATTTAAAAAAATAAAACAAAAAAAAAATAACTACAGTAACCCTAGAAGCCAAGGTGTTCACAGCACCAACTTTTTAACAGTGCCCCTACTGATGAGAATTTCTGGATATATAATTTGATTACATATTGATTTATCTTTGTCTCAAATATAAGTGGTAAACAAAGAGACTACACTGTAGAAATCAGTAAAGACATAATCCCACAAGATCTGTGCTCAAGTTGTATATTTTTAAAGGGGTCAACCTGTACTATACAAAAATCAATTCAGCATATGTAGAATCTTTACAGGTGCTTTATGAGCTGATGTTTTAACTGAGAGGGATCCACAAAATAGGGAATGAACAAAAGAACCAAATTTATATAGTCAATTTGATTCTGGCTTTTAAAATTAGATAATTTTAAGTGACTTAGGGCACCCCACTCATAAGGTACACAAGGTGCTCTGGTTACCTTTCTGAAGCAAAGGTGTCTAAATGGAGAGTACAAATAATAATATTCTGGACTTGAAGCATCAGATAAGAGAAACTCAAAATGAAGTTGCCAAATATTTTAAATTCTTGATTCCTCTGTGTATAAACCTAACAGAAATAGCAAATTCAGCACCAGTGGTAGTAATGTTATCACTAATCTTATATAATTCAAGTCTCTGAAAGGTCAAGGTGAATGTTTTCTAAAGGACATAAATGGGGGAAGGGGGGGAAGGAGGAGGGGAAATGATTACATTTCTGACCATGGGGCTAACTGCTGCATTCATTGGGGTGAGGCAACCAACAAGTTACATGGGTGTCACTGGCCTATACTGAAGACAATCCATCAGATCATGTTTTCTTATATTCTTACTAAACAAAATTCCAGTAAACAGTATGTAACTCTGTATCTCTATAAACTCACAGCTATCTTCAAAACAATAAAAATTTAAAACTACAAAAGATGAGTTGTATTCAGCAAATATAAATGGTAAATTTAGGCTGTGTGTAGAATGTTTATCAGACTATTTACAGTGCAACACAGAGTGTGAGTTCAGATCTCGCCAGCTTCTCTTTCTTCTGATCTCTTTGAACCAGCGTTGCCATTTGTACCCTCATGCCTTTTATCAGCAAAGCTCTTTTCCCTCCTCTCCTTATCCTGGGACTTCTCTCTTGAAGATTGATCTCTAAATCTAGGAAAAAGAAACATCAAGCAATAAGTAGAAGCTGAAAGAGTTTCAATGGGAAGGTAGTTTTCTTCCTGATTATATAGGTGACTATTAGCAAATCACAGGCAGTGGGACATAAAAACAAAAAGGCAAGTACATATTATATACTTTGTAGTGACAAGTCAGGCAAAACATTCCCATTAATTGGATGTCAGGATAATTATGGTGAAGTATGAATTTATGTTTGACCACATTGGCCTCTGTTCAAAATGTAAATTCTAGGCCTATGACACGCACTCACTCTGCTGCCAGGGTGATGATCTGAAGTCAAGCAGCACTCACATGAGATATGGCTCCTGGCAATCACTTAATGAACGTTCCATGAACACTGCCCATTCTCCCATCCCTCAAACCCCATTCTGAGCCCCACCTCCGTTTTCTCTCACACACTGCCAAACACATTCATGGTAACTGGCAAGGAATTAATTCAGGTCTTTTGCATATGGAGTCTTTATTTCAGTTAACCTCACCAAACCCCCAGGTCAAAATTCCTAGCTAAGAACTTTTAGGACCCAATGACCCTGGTAACACAAAGAGAAGGAGCTCACTCCTGGTTGCTGTTACGTGAAGGAGTCAGAGTAGTTACTTGTGTTTCGAACTTCTGTCTCTGGAACCTCGTCGATGACCCCTGCTATGGCTACGTGAGCGGCTTCGGTGGCGCCTATGTCTGTCCCGAGATCGTGACCGGGACTTTCGCCTCTCACGAGAGCCTGACCTTGACCGCCTTCGCCGCCTGTCCCGAGATCGTGACCTAGTTAGTGGTGGCAAAAACCCAAAGCTATAGATTCTGAAAAGAATAAATAATACCTCACATTTACACAGCAGGTACTTTATATAAATTTCATCTGAGCCTCAACAACCCAACAAGTTTATAATCGAACAGGTATTTTCCTCATTATACAAAACGGGGAAAAAGAAGCTCAAAGATGAAGTGACTTACCTAAAGGCATACAACTGATAAACAGTGGAGCTAGGTTTCAACTCATTCTTCTCATTCTCTAATTTAGTGCTGTTCCCACTATACCTCAGCTGTTTTATATAAAATTGAACAGCCTGAAGTACATTCCAATGGCCAGAACTTGTTAGCAACCTAGTAAGTTATGTAGAGTACCCCTCTTACATACATTGCTGACAAATAGTATCTAGTGGAACCAATGATCACAGCTAAGACAAAATCAAAAAACTTTCTTAAAAAAATTTTTTTTCCAGTTCCAAAGAAAGAGGATATCAAAAAGCTTTCTAATAAAGTTATAGCAAAGCACAGGAAATGGTTTCCTATGGAAGTAATGGGTTTCCTGTCACTGCAGGGTTTGAAAAATAACTAGGTGGAGCAGTCAACAGAAGGTGGGGCCTGGACTCAGGAAGACCCAATTTCACATCTGGCCTCTGGGCAAGTCACTTCACCTTGTCTGCCTCAGTTTCCTCATATGTAAAATGAGCTGGAGAAGGAAACGGCGAACCACTCCCAGTATATCTGCCAAGAAAACCCCAGAATAGGTCACAAAAAGTCAGAAAGACTGAATAACAAAGACGTTACAGAAGCGATTCATGCTCAGATTCTTTAGTCTACATGACTTCTGAAGTCTCCTCTAAATTTGGGATTCTATGTCATTGGTAAATGCCAAATTCATGGTGCCCCAGGACTATGATCTAATCTCTTAACACCACCTTTTAGTAACTTCTCTGTATTCTGCCAATTTGTCCTGTCATTTGTCCTTTTTACTTATATCTGGCATTCCTTTTTTCCTAATTATCTAATTATTTCATCCATGATATTCTACATTATTCTATAAAACATTCCTGAAGACTGAGACTGGTTAAAATTTAATGCTAAAAAGTTCAGGATAAGAACATACGTGGTGTCTCACTCTATTAATTGCAGTGGGAAATAGAATACCAGCCCACAGTAAAGCACCCACTTTATTATGTCAGCCTCTGTTCCTGTTCCTCCTGCGCATCAATAGATCACTGGTCCCTCTATCAACAAGGAGAAAATCTCACCATACTTTCTTACCATACATATACAATACACCCACCTTCTTCGATCTCTAGTTCTTGATCCAGACCTAAAAAAAGAGAAAAAGATGCAAACATTTAATTTTCCACAGCCATTGCATTGAACTAAATAGCTGAACAATTCACATTTATATAAATAAGTGCTTTCCCCACAATTACTCTCTGAAGTAGGTGGTGTGTTACCCTCACTCTACAGATAATGAAATTGAGTCTTTGAGTCTTAAGAGTTTGACTTGTCCAGTTTCATAGCAAGAAATACAGGAGCCAGGACTTCTGATATACATGTTATAACATATTCTGGAGTTTGTAAGAACTATACACTAAGAGCAGAACCAGAAGAACGATGTACACAGTAACAGCCACATTGTGCTATGACTGACGTTGATAAACTTAGCCCTTCTCAGCAATGCAAGGGTCTAAGACATCTCCAAAAGTCTCATGATGGAAAATGCTCTCCACGTCCAAAGAAAGAACTATGGAGTTTGAATGCAGATTGAAGCCTACTATTTGCTCTTATTTTTCCTTCTGTTCTGTTTTGTTTCATCTTTCTTGTGGTTCCTCCTATTGGTTCTAATTCTTCCTTACAACATGAATAATGGGAAAATATGTTTAATAGGAATGTATATGTAGAGCCTGTATCAGATTGCACACCATCTTGGTGAGGGAGAGGGAGAAAAATCTGAAACTCAAAAATGAATGGAAGTGATTGTTGAAAACTAAAAATAAATTAATAAAAAAGAACTATACACTAAGTAATTCCATAAAGAAAATTATAGTAAGGTAACTATGTTCTAAAACAGTTATGAACATGACTAACATGGAAATGTTTTACATGACTGCACATGTGTAACCTACACCAAATTGCTTGCCTCCTCAATGAGAGGGGAGGGGAACAAGGGAGAGAAAGAGTCTGGAACTCAAAACTTAAAAAAGAATGTTAAAAATTGTTTTTACATATAGTTGGGGAAAAAATATCTTTTTAAAAGTTTGAAAAAAAAAAAAAAAAAAAAAAGCTATGAATCCCTAAAACCCAACTCTACCAACTGCAGCTTAAATGATACCACACTAACTGTATCTTGACTTTACAAATCTTTTCTGTTTACAGAACAATTTTTATCTCCTCTTCTACCTCTGGGGATAAAGCATGCAGAAATGAGATAAGGGATAAAATCAAGGGGAGGCTAAACACTATTTTATTGCTTTAAATTTGTTTTTTGCTACATAAACATGGATAAATACAAAATAACTCTTTTTTCCCATTACTCCCCCCTTTAAGTATTTTATGTTCCAGTCAACTGTTCCCTCAACTTTGTCCTGCTCCTCTGCCAGATTAAATTCATAGGCCACTCCACAAGACTGGATCATTCTCCTTCCTCATTTCCATCCGTCAGAAGTCTTCTCTTCCTGCCATAAAGCCCTTCCAGATCTGAAAGACAGCAGTTACCACTGCTGTGTCCTAGTACAAAGGATACAAAATCTGAGATCAAAGGACCTAATGTTCAAATTCCATCTGTTACTATCTACTAGCTATGTGACCTTGGGAAAGTCACACTTTCTCTGGCCTTTCCTCATCAGTAAAATAAAGGGGTGACTGAACTCAACCTCTATGGTCTTTTCTAATTCTGAATCTTGGATCTGTGTAATCTGCTCACCAGAAAGAAATCTTTCCAATGCTCTTAACTCACTCTACCTTATGTCATACCTATTTGCAAACATATCCTCCACATTTAATTTTAAGTTCTATAGTATTTTCATCTTTGGCTATCTAGTGCCTAGTAGGAACTCATTAAATTTGCAAAATCTTACTCATGTTTTCTGAGAAGCTTTTAAAACTACAAGTTCTTTTGAACTAGCCTATGTGCCATTTGATTTCTCTCAAGTGTGACTGCTGAAACTCACCTTCGGCCCATCCTTTCTTCTCGTTCTCGTTCTTCTCTCTTCCTCAAACGATCTTGATTTCTTTTCTCCTGTTTTTCTGCCACTGTTTTCTAAAAGCAGAGACACTTGTAAGATTTAAATATTGTGAAATTTGAGAGACAAAAACCCACCAAGAGAATGGTTTGACAAGAATTTAAGGGTCTTCATTCTGCCAAGTAAAAAACTAAGAAACTGTCATACAGAAGAAGTCAATGTCTCTAGGCACATTTCACAAATTCATGATGATAAAAATCACCTAGGGGCCGCTAGGTGGTGCAGTGGATAGAGAACCGGCACTGGATTCAGGAGGACCTGAGTTCAAATCCAGCCTCAGACACATAACACTTACTAGCTGTGTGACCCTGGGCAAGTTATTTAACCCCACTGTCTAGCAAAAAAAAAAAAA